AGAGACGAAATGTCCAAGCGCGTTAGCGCCGCGTCGCCGACTAACGGATAAACATTTGTACGGAATCCAAAGGCATGTAAACAAAATTCATACTTATTATTAAAATCTCTGTGAAATATCTGATAATTTGGTGTGCATATGTCTAATGATCATTTTTGACTGCCAAATGGCATTTTTTTTTTACTTTTTTTACTAGATCTCCGAAACCGCTAGACCTGCCTTCATGAAAATTTGAACAATTCTTTATCTTGTCAATACAAGTAAAATGTTTTTTGAATTATTAAAATCGGATGCTCCGTTCTCTTAAAAACCGAGTTACCATTTTTGACACTTATCTTTGAAATGGCTAGACCTGCCTTCGCCAAAAACTAATCAGCACGTCTCCTTATCAATACAAATCGAATGTTTTTTTAATTATTCAAATCGCTTCATCCGTGATCCCAAAATCGTCGACGAAAATTTGTATCCGCACACTCATACATACACGCATACACACACACACATACATCCATTTTTTCTAAGGTATGCCAAAATATTCAGAAACTTCTGAAACGTAAAGATATATAAAAATCTTCATTTTCGATTTTTTTGCGATTACTATAACTTGCCCTACGGGATGTTAATAAGGTATGCGGCATATATATTGTTAATATTTTCAAAACTTAGAAGCCCTAAGAGCTGTTGTGATGATACTTCTTTTTTTAGAACTCAACGGTTGAACTTCTCAATGTATTTTTTTTATTATTTATTTTTATATTATAGATATGTTTTTTATTTTGATGAGGTAGTGCCGAGAAGGGCTATTTTCACTTGTAGCGATCTATATTTTCAAGTAAAAACCGATATCAATCATTAACTAATGTAATATTTTTTATCGTAAATATTAACCATACAGCTATTTATAATAGCAAATATCAATGTGGTATAGCACGTTGAATATGTACACCAAAACTAAAGTAAAAATATATTAGCATACGTTTAAATAATACTTTAAACTTATAATAATATTAATATAATTTAATGAGCTTCAAGCAACTTATACAAAGCAGATAGGGACTCGTTTGAACAGTTTTTGTTAAATGAATATATTTTGAAATTCACTTAATATATTACGGTAGTTACTATCCATCTTTATTTCTACGAATAAGTTGGTTGGTTGGAATAAGTACGGATAGTTGCTGTAACTTTCCCTCTACCGAATCAAGTAAAAATATATTCACAAATGTGATGATTATTTCACAATTAATCAATTTCATGAAAATGCGAGGTGTTACAACTTACCCCCTTGTTTGGGGCTAGTTGTAATATCTACAAGTAGTAACAACAAAAAACACAATAATGCTTATGATAAATCATTCCCTACTTATTTTAATTATTTATATCCTGATACCATGGATTATTAAAATCTTCCAATTTAACACTAAGATTAACTAATTGTAAGTATCATTTACTCTTTTTATTTTTTCTTTTCACTCCGATTCAATTGTTTTAGTTTGAATTTTATTTTTAATTTTCACTGAATGAAGGCTAGGATTATAGCCGACACGTATGGATTTAAAATAAATTTTTGAAAGAAATTCATGTTTTTTATTGATGTTATGCCAGATTACTAGACTTTGTTAAATATATATATATATATATATATATATATATAAATATAAATAATTTAAATGATTACATCTACTATATTTAATAATATTAATAAGTAATTATTATTTATAATAATTATTTGCAAAATATTAAATACGAAACCATACAATTTACTGTAAAAAATCAAATTTAATAATGCCAGTTCCAACATATTATTTATACTGACAAATAAAAGACATAGAATTATTTTATTTACTGATTAAATTGATCCTGGTGTTTAACTTATGTTAGAGATGATCTACTAGTCTAAATATACGTAAAAAAACTTTATAGCGGTAAATCTGAAAATTAATTATTTAAATCCCATATTTTAAGAAAGAATATTACCAAAATCAATTTTCATGACAAAATACGGGAACGACACGTGGAATAAAAATCCCAGGCTATCTAGCATCGTTTTATTTTCTGATTGATAATAATTTGATGTCTCATTCAAACTCAAATGGTAAACATGACAATTTCTACAGAAAATTCATTAAAGATGCAATTTCAGCTTCAACGTAATATCGTCACAAGGACAAATCTTTAAAAAAAGCATCAAAGAGATGTTGACTTGACAGATTTGAATGAAACTAGAAAAACTTCTTTATCAGAAAGGATTATTTAATATAAATGGAAAATTGAATTGAAAGAACTTTGTGACTATTGGTAATATAATGAATTTAATTGTAAATTAATCTAAATAATTATTGATTATAATATAATATGATATAAATATTAGTCATTTTGGTCGATTAGTGGTAAGAGCTTTGTAGCAAAACGCTTTTTAATAAAAGCTATGTAGTTAAGATATTTCATCAAAACAGTTTGTAGAAATCTTGAGTTTTGATTGCAGTTAAAAAAAATAATTCGAGCATCTGATTGTACTTTTTTAATTTATATTTGAAAATATTAATTAATATGATAATTCAAAGAAGCATTTGTATTCGACTAGATTTTTATTCAAAAAGAACTCGTTAAAATTCTAGCATTGTTATTTAATTCATTAAATAAATACAAACATTTCGACTTTTTTATTATTTAATTTTAATATAATTTTATTATTGTTTAAAACAATTAAATTAATAATATTATTAATGAAATTTGTACTGTTAATAATATTATTTATTACTAAGAATAATTTCAAAGTCAATATAATATAAAAATTAATTATTATATCAAATTAAAAATAATAATACCCCGAATAACATGTGAGACAAATGATTTAATCAGAAGTAAATTTCAAAATATAATAAAATACCGACAAACGTATACTTGAGCGTATATATACTTATATATATACTTATATATATATATATATATATATATATATATATATACAGGGCCGGTTAATATAGAATATTAATATTTGGGTTTTGAAACATTTCACTTATTTCATTAGACGCATTTTTATTTTTAAACATAACATTTGTTGTTCATGTTAGATTTTTTAAATTTTATTTTAATTTTTTTTTTCATTATTTATTTTAATATCCAAAATTGCATCAGTAACTTATTAATATTGTAAAGCCAAATTGTATTCATGTTTACTTTCCCATCTGATTCAGAATATCAGATTGTTGTTTTAAAGTTAAATTTTTATCGTATTTTAAAAGATGCAAAGAAATTACATATTTCCTGAACTATATCGAAAACAAAACACTATTATATTTGTATCTGTATAATTTCTGCTTAGTTAATAATTAAATTTAGTATGGACACCACTAGGTATAAAAAAGCTTACAAGTTTTGTTTCTAAGTACATTTAGCTTCCATTTTTCATATTTGCTCCATTTCCCTAAACCTAACCACGCATGTCTTCAAAGTTCAAAGTTAATCAGATGCGAAACATTTTCATCAAATACAAAAGTTACAATTAAGTTTCTCGGTCTTATAGTCATATTCTATGCACTGACTTCCCATTTTCCATTTTTCTCTATTATAATTTGTAACTATTTTTTTTAACAAGTTCCGTTCAAACTAAATCACCTCGCAATTTTTCATCAATAATGCCCAATAATTTAAACTTTCATAGGTTTGCGCTTACGGTATTGAACACTAGATAATTTCTTTTTCAATTCCACATTAACTACGATTGAAGAAAAATTTAATGAGTTCATTAAATAATAAGCAGAACAATAATTTACTAATTTGCATGAGTAATTAATTGTTTCTACAGATATCACATTGCAAACTGAATATGCTTCCTGTTTCTACATATTCATAGTTAAGTTAGATTGTTTATTATAATCTGTTAATATTCTAGATTTTATATTAAAAAAATACGAATGATATATTATAAATTTCATTTCCGAATCTCGTTTTGGCGCCCCCTAAGGCGTGCGCCGCATTTTTTGCATGCATCGCATGCAAGGCAGGACCGGCCCTGTATATATATATATATATTGAAAAAACTATATGTATATAATATATATTAGGGCACGTCGATTTAAAAGTCGCTTAGGCACATATGATTTTCGGATACTAGGGATCAAAATAAGATACTTTGCTGAAGAAACCATACCTCTAAAATGAATTCTGATACCCCGTGTGAAAAATCATAGTTTTTGGTATTTTACTAAGTTAGCAAAAATGTTTTTTTAAGCCAATTATTTTGGATATTAATTCACAAAAATCCTTATCACAAAAAAATTATAAAAATTTTTTGTTTAAATTTTTCCAATGCATTTTGTCTCTGCGTTCCTATGCTAGCTGGAGGCTGTTATGGCGCCGACATTGGAGCCGTGCGAAATTTTCCAGACTTGAAACCGAAAAGACTTCAAGCAATAATGTATAAGTTTTACATAGTTTTATTTCAATATGTTATAAAATAAATTTTATAATAAAAAAATCGCTGATTTTTGTCTTGTTGAAGTACCAAAAATGATACAATTTTTGTATGGGAGACCTCTATCCTAGGGGGTAAACAATGGGCATGGGTAGTTTGACCTTCCTAAGTTAGTAGGGGTCAGTCATATATTTGGACACTATTAAGGTACTCTAAATGAACCAAAATAGGACTTTTCAAAATTTTACCCAATCACGGGGTCAATGCACGGGACATCATAATTCATTTTAAAGTTATGTGCCTATGCGACTTTTTTTACCCATACAAATCGACCCGCTCTAATAGGTCATAAACTCTGTCTAACTAGACTCAGGAAGGTATGATACAAGGGTTTCCCGTTGCCATTTCGCACTGCATTACAAAATCAAAATAACATTTTTAATCTATATTTTCGAGAAAACTTCGAGAAAGCGAACCAATTACTTATTGCTAAAAGACTGAACTCGATTATATATATATATATATATATATATATATATATATACGAATAATAAGTCTATCTTATTTCTCTGTTTTATCATACCAGTGACTACTGAAGAAAAATGTATCACAACTCCAAAAAGTGCGACAATCCAGCATTTTACTTCAACGCGCATTATGGCGCCACCAGTTAAATCTTCAAAACAGACATATATAAATCGATTCTAATGAAAGTCAATGAAAAAAGAACACAGAAATTAAAAGAAAAAATCATCCAAAACAGCACAACACTCAGTCACTTGGTTCAACTTTCAAATATAAATTATTCACTGGAATAATAAACCGTTTATAGCTAGAATGTGTCATCGGTTAGAAAGCGAATTTTAAACTGCACTGACTTTCTGTCCATTGGCCAGTTCCTTCGTAATCTTCATCTCAACCCAGAGATCGTGGCCTTTACCCGGACCATGGTTCAAACGAGATTATGAGAATAAAATATTGTTTATTTGTTTATACACACTTAATATATAATTACAGAGCCGAATTCTATTGGGGTTTGATACTATAGAAAAAGAAAAAGTAATTTACATCTATTTTTTCCACTCCTTCAAATACGATTGGTTTGCTTCAATTTCTTATTGAAGCCATCTTCAATTAATTTATTGCTTACCCTACGACACATTCGTAATTAAGTAATTCGTAATTCGTAATGCCAAAGTACAAATGTAAACTTTATAATATTTCAGTTTTGAATGTTTTTTTGGATATTTCAGTTACCATGTTTCACAATATTTACTAATTGACAAGTAACTAGTGGTGCTTTATATCGTGCCTTAAGGCAAATTGTTGCAACTTTCCGTACCAAAAATTAAAGATTCATTTTCTTCAGAATTTAAAAAAATTAGTTTTTCAAATTAAAAAAAATGACCTTTTCGAAAAAAAATGTTTTTTTATACTTTGAAATATTTTGGAAATTTTGAACGTTTTTCGAAATATCGAAGCGCGTGGGCGCCGCGTCGCAGTATAACGGATAAACATTGGTACGGAACCCATAAAAAAGTAAACAAAATTTGTTGTTATTATTAAAATATCTATAAAATATGTGTTAATTTAATGTGCATGAGTCTAATGATCATTTTTGTTCGCCAAACGATTTTTTTTTACTTTTTTTATTAGATCTCCGAAACCGCTAGGCCTGCCTTTTATCAGTTCTTCATTTCGTCAATACAAATAAAATCTTTTTTAAATCATTCAGATCGGACGATCGGTCCTCTCAAAAATTTAATTACCATTTTTGGCACTTTTTACCCCATATCTTCTACTGATTTTGACACATCGCTGGTGGACCTTTGTAACCCCGGAAAATGTTATTCGACAAAATGTTCCTTCGATCGATACCAAATTTAGGTTCTGAATTTAAATAACATAAATAAAAAATAATATAACCTAGGAAATGTTTTATAAATACCAATTATATAATTATACAAATGAAATCTTTCAGAGCACCATATTTAAGAAAAATATGATTTACAAAAAAGAGTGCTACAATGCCAAAAAATGCATTTTCAATTAACATTTCAACTAGCTGTAAGTGGAATTCTGTCTTAAGGCAATTAGCGCATCGAGCCTTAAGGCAAATTGCTGGAACTTCCCGTACCAAAAATTTTTTTTTTTTTTAAAACGATTAACATTTTTGAAAAAAAATTACTTTGAAAAAATAAGATTTTTGAGAAACTATAAATTGGACAAAAAATTAGTTTTTTTTTGAAAAAAAAAATTTTTTTTTTAATTTTTTTTTTAAAAATTTTTTTTTTTTGAAAAAATTTTTTTTTTTTATTTTGACATATTGTGGAAGATCTGAACTTTTTTTCAAAGCAATCGTACTGCTTTAACTACATAGGGACAAAATATAAAGCGCGTAAGCGCCGCGTCGCTGTCTAACGCATAAACATTGGTACGGAACCGATAGGAATGTGAATAAAATGTATACTTATTGTTAAAATCTCTATAAAATGTCTGATAATTTGATGTGCATATGTCTAATGATCATTTTTGACCGCCAAATGGCTCATTTTTTTACTTTTTTCTCTATATCTCCGAAACCGCTGGACCTACTTTCATGAAAGTTGTATCGATTCTTCATCTTGTCAATACAAATAAAATGTTTTTTGAATTATTAAAATCGGACGCTCCGTTCTCTTAAAAACTGAGTTACCGTTTTCGGAACTTTTTGCCCCGTATCTTCGAAACGGCTTGACCTGCCTTTGCCAAAAACTAATCAGCACGTCTCCTTATCAATACGGATCGAATGTTTTTTAAAATATTCAAATCGGTTGATCCGTGTTCCCGAAATCGTCGACGAAAATTTGTATCCGCACATACATACACACACATACATACATACATACACACACACATACACACACACACACACACACACACATACATCCATTTTTTCTAAGGTATGCCAAAATGTTCAGAAACCTCTCAAACGTAAAGATATATAAAAATTTTCATTTTCGATTTTTTTGCGATTACTATAACTTGCCCTACGGGAAGTTAAAAAAGTTGATATTCTGAGCTTCTAGTAACACTTGCGGCCCGTTTACTAACGTTTTTGTATTTAAATAAAACTACAAACAAAACTACTTACTACAGTTTAATCATAATTAAATATTATTCACGTAAAACATCCTATTAAACGTAATTGAACATCGTCTGTCAAAAACGTTTGATATTTCACGTATTAGCCACCGTCCATTGTTTTATTTAAATTACGCTTCTACAAAAATTTTCAAATTAAAAATGTAAAGTTTCTACGCGATTTTGAAATAACATCTCACCTTTCCGACCATCTCTGGATTGGCACGAATTTTTCAAGACTAAGACTGGCCAAATCGGTTTAGCCGTTTTCGAGTTTTACCGAATCATTTGATCGAGAGCTCCATTTTTATATATAAGATATAATAACTATTAAATGTATGTCCTAAATTGCAGATTGTTTAATTTTATAAAAGTACAAACAAGAATCAGATGAGATTTTTCAAACGATGTTATCTTTATGATAAAAATCATTCGTTTTGCATATTAAAATCTTACCAAGCTTTGTTACAGCAAAAGTAATACCTAAATACCTAAATTTTTTTTTTTTTATTTTCAAATTTTTTTTACATGCTATTTCCAAAACTTTGATTGAATTGCGCTCTATCTAAACGTTAATATTAAGAGCTAGAACTTTTAGAGAATTGTTTTTTATAAATTTGGAACTATTTGAGCCCCTAGGAGCAAGGAAATTCGAAAATGTCCATATTAAAGAACCACCCTAATATGTATATATATATATATATATATATATATTTGTAATATTTTTGCAGCCCAATCGTCGAATTAAAAATTTAATTCATACAAGTTTTATATCTCACACACACATATATATATATATATATATATATATATATATATATCTTATATATAAAAATGGAGCTCTCTTTCAAATGCCTTAGTAAAACTCGAAAACGGCTAAACCGATTTGGCCAGTCTTAGTCTTGAAAAATTCGTGCCGATCCAGAGATGGTCGGAAAAGTAAGATATTATGTCAAAATCGCGTAGAAACTTTACATTTTTAGTTTGAAATTTTTTATAGAAGCGTAATTTAAATAAAACAATGGACGGAGGCCGGTGGCTAATACGTGAAATGTCAAACGCTTTTGACAGATGATGTTCAATTACGTTTAATAGGATGTTTTACGTGAATATTATTCAATTATGATTGAATTGTAGTAAGTAGATTTGTTTGTAGTTTTATTTATATACAAAAACGTTAGTAAACGGGCCGCAAGTGTTACTAGAGACTCAAAATATCAAATTTTTTGAAATGTTAATATAAAAACGCACTTTTTGGCATATTTTTCTCAAACACGGTGCTCTGAAAGATCTCATTTGTATAATTATATACTCATTGGTATTTATAAAACATTTTCTAGGTTCTATTATTTTTTATTTATGTTATTTAAATTCAGAACCTAAGTTTGGTATCGATCAAATGGACATTTTGTCGAATAACATTTTCCCAGTTATAATTTCCCAGAATTTATCGAAGAATAGATAGTAATATATGAAGGTCCGGGGTAAAAAGCTCCACCACCAATGTGTCAAAAAACAGTAAAGTTAAGCATTGTTTAACAACAATATTTGAAAGTAGAGGAAAAAAGATGTATAACCAGCTATAACCTTGATTTGAAAACGGTAATCTTTGAAATGAGGGAGATAAACAGTAATCTTTGAACATCCATCATAAAAGTATTTTCTTCCGTTGGTAGTTTTTAACTTCCCGTAGGGTAAGTTATTGTAATGGGCCGAAAATCGGAATTGAAAATTTTTACATTTCTCGACGTTTTGAAGGTTTCTGAACATTTTGGCATACCTCAGAAAAAATGGATGTGTGTGTGTGTGTGTGTATGTATGTGTGGATACAAATTTCCAGTCACGTTTTAGGGCGCACGGATCAACCGATTTGAATGGTTACGGAGCAAAGAGTGCAGAAAATAGAAATCGAATTTTTGAGCGAACGGAGTATCCGATTTGAATGATCTAAAAAACATTCAATTAGTAATGATTGGGAGAAGTGTTTATTAGTTTTTGGCAAAGGCAGGCCCAGCCATTTCGAAGATACGGAGCTAAATATGTAAAAAATGGCAGTTTTTGAGAGAACTAAGCGTCCGATTTAAATGATTCAAAGAACTTTCTGCTTGTTTAAACAAAATAATTGATTTTGAAAAAAAAAATTTGTTCAAATTTTTTTTTTTTTTTTTTTTTTTTTTTTTTTTTTTTTTTTTTTTTTTTTAGTATTTTGTATATCGATATTTATAATAATCTATTTGAAAACATTCAGTATTCCTCGAACATTTCGTTACGGTGCGGGAAGTTCCAGCAATTTGTCTTAAGGCACGATGCCATAATTGCCTCAAGACAGAATTCCACTTACAGCTAGTTTTGATTTTTGATTCTCTAGAAATTGTTTAGAATATACCTTACTTAGCAAAACAACGTTTGCCGGGTCTATATGTAATATATTTATGGGAAGCAGTGGTCCATATGTAATATATTTTATTTATAATAAAATAGTAACGACACTATGTGTTATCATATTTATCATTTATAAAATATAGTTAGTATTTGTATATTTTCAAAGTGTTATGAATTGTAATTTTGGCAGTGAGATTGGGGAGAAACAATAGAGAGATCCCAACTGACACTTGCACTATTTTGTTTCATCCGTGCTGTCACTATGATGAG